GCTTCCTGCATGGGAGACGCCGCCTGCACGACGCCATCTATGTCATCTGCTTGTAATAAACAGGCTCTCAGCCTCTCCGCTGCATTATACCCCTTTATCTTTGCATCTTCTCTGGGCATTGCATCCCGACTTGACTGAGTTAAACACTCACCTTTTGACGAGCCTCTTGCAGATGTGACCATCTCGGAAGCCTCGTCAGAGACCAACATCCTTGAAGTAGGTAGGATTTCGACTGGGCGGCGATCTCCATCACAGTGTCCGTCAGTCGCCGCCTCCCGGCCCTCCTCGCTTTCACCCTTAAAAAGTTCTGGCACGAGCTGTGTCAAACAACGGTTCTTCGCCATTTCACCACGAAGTCCCTTTGCGAACGTCGTTTCGGCAGGCTCCGGAGACTTGCTCACATCGACGACGATAAACCTCTTGCCTTTAGGTGACGCCAGTCTGCCCGTGGATGCGCAGATGGGCGACTTAGTCTCTACGCCTTCACGTTTGCAAAGGATGCATATACTGTCAAGTCGAGTAGACAGGGGTTTCGCGTAAGAAACTGTGGCTTCCTTCTCGAAGGCGCATCCAGGGTAATACAATTTCCCTGAAAGCGAGGCACGTCCAGCCTCATCGAAAATAATCAGAGTGCCTAAAATCCTTTGCAGTATGTCCACCGAAGGTGGCTCTAGTGCAGAAACTCCTTCTGCTGATTTGGATCTCCTTGGAATGGCAGCATCTTCATCAATTCCAAGTGAGACTTGACTGGACTCATCCAGGTCTGCCGGTGTTTGGTGATAAACCTCAGCGTTAAGCAAAAACTTTAGGATACTTTGCAATTCTCCCGGACAATTGGCTTTTATGATGGACCAGCAGTCCAGAATGTTCGAACTTTGATAAATAAGTTCACACAAGGGAACAAGCAGTCGATTGTTGTGTTTGTTTAGCAGGATTTCGTACAGCTTGAAGAGCAGAGCAAGGGAAAGCAAACAATCCTTCAGGTAGAAGGAAAATGAAGGCCAATACACCTGCATCACTTTCAGACGAATATCCAGTGGAAGATTTTTTGAATTTTCGGCCGTTTTTGGTTGAATTATTGGGTATTCCGGCTTATAGAATAGCTTCAAACGTACCATTCGCTCTAGAGATTGCATCAACTGGAAACTCAAGCGACTCAGCGGGTCTTTCAAGACCAATGACTTTACTATGCGTAGAAACAGTGAACATTTCTGCCCAGAGTGCTTTGGGCAAAATAAGTGACCAGTATGGGCTGCAAAGAAGTCCGAACACTGAAGAACCAAGGTGTCGAATAAACGTGAAAGATTTATCCACCGGTTACCTTTGGCCATTTCCAAACCATACTCCAGAATGTCCTCATAGTGCACAACTTTTTCGCGCTTTTTATTAACGTAGTGCAGATCAATCGGGTCAAAGCACTGTCTACGGGATTGGGTGTGCCTACCGTATAAGAGCGGCAGCGCGTTGAAGAAGTTCCGTCTGACTGCCACCACCGCTGGGGTAAGTTCCAGGAGATCCTTGCTTGTATTAGCCTCAGAGAAGGCGCAAACGTCTGCCGCATAACTGATCTCTCCGCTGTCCACCAGACCAGATTCGAGCAGTATCTGAACAATAGCCTTTCGACGCATGTAGGCGGCAAGGGCCAGTGGACGCAGGTACAAGATAGTAGAGTGTCTGAACATGGGTTGCACATCGCATGGGTCCCATAATACTTTATCTGGGCAGTCCATAATTTGAAAGACATGGCCAAACAGTTGCGGCCTTTCTCGCAACATTGATATTAAACGATAATTAGCCCCATTACGGAAAGTTTTTAACATCCATTTGGTATAGGGGTGGTCCCAGGTAAAGAAGCTCGTGACTGTGATGCTGGAATGTGGAAATTTTGGAGGATTAGGCAATCTATAAGTCCCCATCTTTATTTGGATTGATCCCACAGGCCTTTACTGTATTCTTTAGCCACAGAAACTGAACCCATGTGACATGTCACATTTATGAACAGACAGCCAAGAGGTGGGTGCTTTTGAATCTCTTAGTGGTCGATACCTCTGCACGCGCGCGAAGATGCGTGCCTCGTTCTACCGGGTTTTAATTGTAACGCACAAGTCGAATGAGCTTAAAAGTAGGCCATTGGCCAGGAAACCAGAACTATTCGAGTTTCAGCATGCTCTGGGGCTTCAGCTGATACACCTTGAGATGTGACATGTGTCAAACTATATCCTGCCCGTTCATTCTGTCCATACTCGGTCACTAGTGGATCAGTTTTTTTAAGATTTTCTCCAGAGAACCTTCCTCTCTAGAGAATTAATATTCTGCAGGATGGGAGTGGTGATGGACTTGTATACCTCTCTCTCTCTGATGCTACCTCTGATTGTGGGCTTGAGAATGAATTTGAAATGTCTACTGGGTAAGAGCGGATTCATTTGGCGTGCCGGCCACAAAGACTAGTCAATGCCGACACTTGATTTCTCTGAAACAGAAAAGAATGCCCGCGGTCCTTTTTCGAAAGTTGCTGACGAAAAGGAGCCAGGTAATCAGATAAAGAAGCCAACTTGTTTCTACAGCTACAAAATAAAGAAGAGGAGCGTCCTTGGGGCAGAACTTGGCAATTTTCAAGAGGACCACAATCAGAGTGGATAAAAAATTCTACAATTCAACTCTCTTTCTCGTCTGAAATAAATTGCACAAGCAAATTCACTATACATGAGTCAGCCGGACCCTAGGGAAGGAATGTTTTCGAACCCCAATAATATTTTTTCCAAAGAGGACAAAAGCACGATCACTGGGAGAGCACTTGTATTAGTCTGAGTTTTCGGACTCGTAAAGATGGCCATCGTCAGAGAAAATGAGAGAACTGCAAAAATTGACATGTTTTGTAATCCTGCTACGAGACAATGATGGGTGGGGGATGGGAGGGTAGCCTTTGTGATGGTTTGAGTCCGCGCTACGTCGTCTCAGCTCGGCGAGCGGCCTTAGCTCAGAAAGGTACAAGTGCTGTCCTAGTGATCGCGCCCTTTTCTTCTTTGCAACAAGAACCTGGGGCACGCATACTCGCTTCCATTCGTTGAAAAAAGTTTTTATTACCATTGAATTTATTGAGTGGATAGAAAGAGCGTGGTACAAGAGGCCATAAAAACTATAGTAGATTGCCTATCTGATGCAAGGTTGGGGATTTGAGGATTAAACGCA